GGTTTCTCTCCTGTATGAATTCTGTTGTGTACTGAAAGTAATGATGGCAAACGGAAGGCTTTGGCACATACTTCACACTTGTAGGGTTTCTCTCCTGTATGAATTTTCTTATGTCCTGAAAGTTCTGATGGTAAATAGAAGGCCTTGCTACATATTTCACACTTGTATGGTTTCTCTCCTGTATGAATCTTCTTATGTTTATTAAGAACTGATGCATAACAGAAGGCCTTGCCACACACTTCACATTTGTGGGGTTTCTCTCCTGCATGAATTTTCTTGTGGTTAGAAAGTACTGATGGATAATGGAAGGCCTTGTCACATACTTCACACTTATAGGGTTTCTTTCCTGTATGAATTCTCTTGTGGTAAGAAAGTAATGAGGAAATATGGAAGGCCTTGCCACAAACTTCACACTGGTAGGGTTTCTCTTCTGTATGACGACTCTTGTGTACAGAAAGTAATGATGCAGCATGGAAGGCCTTGCTACATACTTCACACTTAAAAGGTTTTTCTCCTGTATGAATTATCTTATGTTCATAAAGTAGTGATGGATAATGGAAAGCCTTGCCACACACCTCACACTTGTAGGGTTTCTCTTTCTTATGAATTCTCTTATGTTTATAAAGTCTTGATGGACAATGGAAGGCCTTGCCACATAGTTCACATTTGTAGGGTTTGTCTCCTGTATGCATTCTCTTGTGTTCCGAAAGCAATACTGGGGCACGAAAGGCCTTGCCACAAATTTCACATTTGTAGGGTTTTTCTCCTATATGAGTTAGCTTGTGTTTAGAAAGTAATGACGGAACATGGAAGGCCTTGCCACATATTTCACACTTGTACGGCTTCTCTCCTGTATGAATTCTCTTGTGTTTAGAAAGTAATGTAGTATAATGGAAGGCCTTGCCACATATCTCACACTTGTAGGGTTTCTCTCCTGTATGAATTCTTTTGTGTTCGGAAAGCAATGATGGGTAACGGAAGGACTTCTCACATTCTTTACACTTGTAGGGCTTTACTCTTAAATGAATTCTCTGGTGGTTACTAAAGGTTTTTTTCCGCTCAAAGACTTTACCACACTCTTTGCATGTATAGTGT